GTGAGAGCCAGGAGTGTTTTTAGAACACAGAAGGTCAGAGCTGGGAGAGACCTTAGAACACAGAATGTCATAGCTGGGAGAAGACCTTAGAACACAGAAGGTCAGAGTTGGGAGAGACCTTAGAACACAGAAGGTCAGAGCTGGGAGGGACCTTATAACATAGAAGGTCAGAGCTGGGAGGGACCTTAGAATCACAAAATTATTCCTCAATTTATAGATGAGAAACTAAGGTCTAAAAAGGTGAGGTGACCCCCACAGTCACAGAACTGGCAGGTGGAAGAGCCAGAAGGAAATCCAAGTCTTCTGACCCCAACTTCACTGTTCTTTCAATGACGCCAGCCCTCAAAGAAGGGGTCTTGGAACATGGAGTGTTGGAGTTGGGAGGGACCCTAGAGATCATTGTGATACCATGGGAAGAGCAGCTAGAGTCAGAGTGCTGGGGTGCAGCATTTCTAAAGCCCCTACTATGTGCCAGACACTCAACTGGAGATATAGAGACCAAAAAGGAAACAGCCTCTGCCCTCAAGGAGCTTATACTTTAAGCAACATGTACAGAGACAATTAAATACAAAATGTATAAAAGGGACAGGGCACTAGCAACTGCATGGATCGGGGTAGGCTTCCTGTGGGAGGTGGTCCTTGAAAGAAGCTTTGAGGGAAACTAGGGATTCTCTGAGGCAGAGGCAAAGAGCGAGAGCATTCCAGGCCTGGAGAGCAGACCACTATGTCACAGGCAAGAAACAGCAAGGTCAGTCTGGCCAGATTGCAGAGTGCAGGAAAGTCACACACCATAAGCTTGGAAACGTAGGCAGGAGACCGACTTTGTGGAGGGATAGCAAAGCCAAACCGAGGCAAGAGGGAGCCATTGGAGCTCCTAGAGTAAAGGAGTGACGCGGTCAGACCTATGTTTCAGGGTCACATCCTGGACGGGCTGCTCTTTACTCTGTGACCCTGAAAGGCCCTTTCTCTCTTGGGGCTTTAGTTTCCTCCTCTATTTTTTGGGGGGGGGGGGGCTAGGCGATGGGGTTAAGTGACTTGCCCAAGGTCACACAGCTGGTAAGTATTATATGTCTGAGGCCGGATTTGAACTCAGGTCCTCCTGAATCCAAGGCTGGTGCTCTATCCACTGCCCCACCTAGCTGCCCAAGTTTCCTCCTCTATAAAATGAGGAGGCTAAAGTAAATGATCTGAGGTCCCTTCCAACTCAAAATCTATGACCCTGGGATATAAGACAGACTAAACTTATTGGAACACTTTGGTCTGAAAAGACAAAGGCTGAAGGTCCATGACCCAAATCTAGCATATCACGTCAATAGGAGGCCCCAGGCTTAATCACCGCATTCCAAAGTATTAGAACTAGGGGATCCCCCTGAAAGCCAGAAAGAAGAAAGTTAGGACACACATGAAGAAGTCCCTGCTTCCCACTTGTTACATCATGACAGGCTAGAGGTAGAACGGAGGCACCTCGAGGACAGGGACTGGTTTGCTATGTTCTTACACATAATAGGCCTTTTAATAAATGCTTGTCAACCGTAACAAAAAGCATTTATTAAGAGCTTACTGTATGCCAGTCACTGTGCTAAGCAGAGGGTGGGGAGTTCTAAGTAGAAGAAAAGGCCCCACGAGGAATGAAAGAGGCCTGCAGGTCCTTCTGGAAAATGGAGGTTCCTAGAGGAAAGGGCCACAGAGTGGAGGGATGTTTCAGCATGAGAAAGTCAATGGAACTTGGTGGAGAAAGTGTGGAGAGTCAGGAAAGGAATGGTTGAAACAGAAATAAATTTCTGAGTGATAATGCCATGGTCAGGGGTTATGGGCCACTGGAGATGCTGAGGATGTGGGCCCAACCTTAGAGGTTGACCTCTAAGTCTTCCCCTAAATTGCCTCAGGTGTCACTATCAAGGGAAGAATCCTGGGCTGGATGGACCATGGCACTCACCCAGGGGAGACAGTTCTGATGTGCAGGTGTGACATTATCCAAAGGAGTTGGTCCCCTTGTTCCATCAATACTTGCCATTGCTCAGAACTATTTGGAATATTCTCTATTGCAATCACCTTCAGGGATAGTTTATGAGAAATATAAGAAAATCGGGCTCCTTACTTTGTCACTGCACTTTGTTATTGAGCAAAAATGAGGTAGGCAGTCCCCCAGTTTATGGCAAGCTAGGTTCGTGCAGAGCCTTTTTAAGTCAAAATGCTTTAAGTCAAATCTGATTTTCCCATAGAAACAAGATATCAAGAGAGGGCCATGTTCTGGACCAAGGATGTGATGTTTCATGAGTCACTGGGGTCAAAGAATCCATCACCCTTTGGGTAAAGTGGTAGTCAGATACTCTGTATTTAGCTAGACTGGTCTTCTAGTAACAGATACATTCAATAGCCAGGCCCATCCTTGAAGCCGCTACACCTTGGCAGAACCTACCAGAGTCCTCAGGCACAGGCTTTGAGACCCCAGGGTCACCTCCATGTCACAATCATAGGATCAAAGAGCTAAAACTGGAAGGAATCTCAGAGTCCAACCCTCTCACCTTAACAGAGCAGTTAAGTGACTTACCCAAAGTCATACACATTGTAAGTGACAGAGGTGGGCTTTGAACCCAAGCCCTTTGACTTTAAATCTAGTGCTCTTGTAATTGTACCACACAGAGGAAGGCTTTGGGAAAAGAGAAGCATCTGTGCCTGCTATGTGGTGTGGTGGGAATAACACTGGAGTTGGAAACAGTATACCTGCATCCAAATCTTGGCTCTGAAATTTATTAGCTATGTAGTGGTGGAAGAATCACTTGACGTCTCTCTGCCACAACTGATGATATTAGGGAGAATATACTGGTGGGGGCTCAAGCTGATGGCACAAGAGAAAAACACGCTTGTCTCTTTGGGGTAGCCCTAGATCCCTGCAGAGATGTAGTGGTCATTCTCTGGACACCTGACCTAATGGTATAAATGTGAACTAAGACAAGGAGCTTATCCGAGCTACATAAGAAATGGGAACAATGACGATTGGAGGAGTCACACAGATTATTCAAGCCAGAAGGAACTTTAGGAAAGTGCTTTGTAAAGACTCACATCTAGTAAAGTGGGAGAAATTTAGCACCTCAGACCTAACTTTTTGTAGAAATGACCACAAGCACCATAATTAATTTTAAAATAGAAACAGAAGGAGCAGCTAGGTGGTGCAGTTAATAGATATACACCCGAGATAAGCAGATACCGAAGAGGGGGATAGTCAGTCAAGAGCCCTCGGATTCTCCATCTTGACTCAACACCCACAAACAAGTGTGTTCATACACATACACAAGTGTGTTCACACACATACACAAATATGTTCACATATACACAAGTATGTTCACATAATCCACAAGTGTGTATACATACACAAGTGTATTCACCTACAAGAGTGTGCATGTTCACACATACGCAGGTGTGTCCATGCATGCACAAGTGTGGCCATACATGCACAAGTGTGTTCACCTTCAAGAGTGTACACACATGTGTATTCACCTATAAGAGTGTGCACACAAGTGTGTTCACACACACTCTCACACATTCACAAGTGTGCTCACACATACACAAGCATGGTCTCACACATTCACAAGTGTGACCATACACATACAAGTGTGTTCACATACAAACGTGCACATATTACATAAGTGTTTATACATATGGTCACCAATAAGTGTATTTACACATACACATATGTTTGTACACAGTGTTCGCATGTACACACACACACAGCATTTGTACATGGATACATTCACACAAAATGTATACACACATGCATAAGTTTGTTCACACATGTGAACATACACAAGAGTGTGATACATATGCACAAGTGTGTTCACACACACCAATATGTTTAGAAACGAGTGTATTCACACATACACAACCGTTCATATGCAACACATGTGTTCATACATAAGTATGTTTACACAAAATGTGTATGCACATACACAAGTGTGTTTCTACACAGGCACATACACAATGCACATATATACACGCACACACACCATATTCATGATTTTTGACTCTTTTTGAAACCCTAGGCCACGTTTTCCTCCATTTAGGTTATTCCAAAGAACATACCCCTGGCACAAACACTCTGCTTGGACATCGGAACTTCCCAAGGCAGGTCTTTGGAAGGTGTGGTCCTCTTTTGGGACGAGAGGCAGGCCCCTTGCACCTCTGGGACTCTAAGTCCCCTACGCCTGGAGTCCTAGGTTTGATACCCGCCTCCGACACGTAGAGGCTGTGTGACCTTGGGCTTGTCCCTTCACCCCTAGGGGTCTTGTTGCCTCATCCGTCACCCACAGCAGTTGCAGGAATCGTTTGAAATGACAGAAGTAAAGCATTTTGTAAACCTGAAAGCACTAGATAAACATCTGTTATTGTTATTGTTTGTGTTCTGCTGTTGTGTGTGTACGTCCATAGACGGGGTGTAGGGGGCAGCTGGAGAGGAAGAGGAGGAGCGAAGATGGGGGTGGGGTAGAAAGAACACCAGATTGAGAGCCGAAGGGCCTTGCTGCTCATGTGACCTCGGACGAGTCACCTCCACTACCCGTGCCTCGGTTCCTTCTTCAGCAGAATGAGGGTGTTGGCACCAGAGCCTCCTTCTTGTTCTAGCTCTCAGGTCCTATGGCCCCTCCACCCTGTGGACACCTCGATTTTCCCCAAGCTCCCCCACTTCTCCCCCTATCGAGGGTCGAGGGCCCCTTTCTGACAGCCTCTCTGCTCCCCCGTAGACCATTACTGGGACTTCCACCCCCACCACATGCACAATGAATTTGAAAGCTTTGCTGAGAATCACTTCACGGAGCTCCAGAGTGTCCAACCCCCCCAGCTGCAGCAGCTTTACCGTCACATGGAGCTGGAGCAAATGCACGTCTTAGACACCCCCGTGCCCACCGCCCCCGGCGGCCTCGGCCACCAGGTAGGAGCCGGGCCTGACCAGGGGCCTGGAAGCCCCTCTCCTTGGTCCTGCCCCGGTTTCGTCCTCTGTCGTGCCCCCCATCCCCGTCCCTGTCTGTCCCAGGAGAGCCCTCCCAGGCGGCCTGTGGTGAGGCTGCCTGGACTGTCACAGGAAGCTGACGTGAACTCTTACCCAACACGGCTTCCTGCCAACGGCCAGAGTGCCAACTGCCACTCCCCCCACTGACCCCCTGACTGACCTCCCACGCTCCAGCCTGGCGCAGCGGATTCAGAGGCAGAGGTCCTGGGTTCGAAGCCCACCTCTGTCCTCTGCTATCTTCTCACCTGTCTACTCCTTAATGACCCCCCAACACCCTGACTCCAACGACCCTCCAAGAAACCTCCTTCCCTCCACCTGACCCTCTAGCTCTCCCTCTTGTCCTCAGTGACACTGAATGACTCTCAACAGCCTTGATTTACCTTTAAGCACATATCTTTAATCTTATTAACCCTCTCCAACATCTCCTAACTCCACTGACCCTCGGATGACACTTAATACCCGAGTGCCCAGGGAGAAACCCTCTGGGCCTCAATTTTTTTATCTCTAAAATGAGGAGAAGGGATTTTACGGCCTCTCCGGGCCTTTCCATCTTTAAATCTATAATACTGCGGCCCCTTTGACCCTCCAAGAAATCCCCAATGTCTGGACTAACCTTCGATCCTCAATTTATCCAACACATAGGCCTAGTCTTACAAATCCCATGGCACTCTCCCAGTGCAAACGTCCCTCAGTGTTCTCTCCCGACCACAGCGACTTACCCCCCTTAGCACCCCACGACTGACTTCCACACTCCCCATGGTGCTGAACTGATCCTCTCCCGCAGTCCTGCTGAGCATCTGGTCCCACTGACCTGCATTCCCACCTCATTTGGCTGCTCGTGGCCTCCGTGCCGCACCGCCCCGCATCGCCATGCTTCTGCCTCCATTTCCTCGGCTCACTGGTCTCCTCTCCCTGGTCCCTGTGTCCCCAGGTCCCCTCACTGGCCCCTCTGCATTCCTCCCAGGTCCCATACCTGCCCTGCATGTGTCTTCAGTACACCTCCCCCACACAGCCCAGCTCCGATGAGGAAGAAGGTGAGCGGCAGAGCCCCCCGCTGGAAGTGTCTGATGGGGAGACGGAGGTCCTGGAGCCTGGCCCAGGAATCCTGCACGGAGAGACAGGTCAGTGGCTAATCCATGAAACCCCCCAGAATCTTTTCCCTGCACTCCTCTGCCTCATCCCATCCATCTTCTCTCTTGGACTTGTTTGAACACCAAGTGTCAGATTTGACATTTGTCCCTGTCAAAGTTCATCTGATTGAATTCGGCCTCTCAAGAGCTTGTGGGTTGCTGTCACCGAGTGTGTTAGCCATCCCTCCCAAGACAGAGGACAGAAATCTTGGCTTTTCCATTCAATGCTTGTGTGGCCTCAGAGGAGACTGTTCCCTTTCCTGAGCCTCAGTTTTCTCATCAGGAAAAGGAGGGTCCCTTCTAGCCCTAAATCATGTTGTGGATTCCTGACATAAGGGGGGACTTCTCTATATCCCTAGCTTTTACCTTGGCTGGGGCTAGGAGATGGGAGGACGGGGAGCCCGAGCTGTCTGGATAAGCTGAGCTCTATCTCCTCCTTCCAGGCAGCAAAAAGAAAATCCGTCTCTACCAGTTTCTTCTGGACCTTCTCCGCAATGGGGACATGAAGGACAGCATCTGGTGGGTAGACAAGGACAAAGGCACTTTCCAGTTCTCCTCCAAGCACAAGGAGGCCCTGGCCCATCGCTGGGGCATCCAGAAGGGCAACCGTAAAAAGATGACCTACCAGAAAATGGCCCGAGCCCTTCGGAACTACGGCAAGACGGGCGAGGTCAAGAAGGTGAAGAAGAAGCTGACCTACCAGTTCAGCGGCGAGGTGCTGGGGCGGGTGACCCTGGTTGATCGGAGGCACCAGCCCCACTGAGTGCCTGCCAGCCTGCCCACACCCCCGATGCTGGGCCTTGGCACAACCCCACATCCCTGCTCCCTGCCTCCATGGGAGGGGAAGGGGAGGCCCAGCCTGAGGGGCGGGCTGCCCAGTGGTCACAGCGCTGCCCCCAAGGGTGGTTCTGGTGCCTGGGTGGGAGGCCAGACCCCAGACCTTCCCGCTGCATTAGCTTCCCCGCTCCCTGTAGCATTAACCCCACGAGGAGGCCTCCTGGACAGATAGGATAAAGGCCTTAGTGGGTGACAGACCTTGGAGATGTCTGTTTCCCTGTCCTTCCCCATCATCCTAATTCCCACAACCCCTCCCTCTTCTGAGATCTCCAACCTCTTTCCTGCCTGTCTTTTTCTGTGGCCCCCCAGGACTCTCACTCAGGGGGAGGCTCACCCCTGGAGTCGACCTCGGACCGCAGGGGCATGCACACCACGTCTGCTTCGCTTCATGCAATTGGGTGTGTTTCTCAGGAGTTGCCTGAAAAGCAAGTTTCTGTAAATTGAGTCCTCTGTCAAATGTCCCTTGAGGACCTCATTAATTAAAGGGATCCTCCAGTGAATCCTTCCTTGCAAAGCAGAAGATCGTCTTGTGAGATGAACTAGTGTATTGTAGTTTATCATTCTGAGGTGACTCTGGATTTCCAATACCAGCTAATTTATATGGAAGTCATATATTTATCAACCTCCATCTGGAAGCTAACCAAAGACAAGGAAATACGTAATAAAAGTCTTAGAGCAAGCCAAATCGGTGCACTAAAGTTCTTGCACTTTAATAGAAGAACCCCTCTGACCCTGATTCAGAGCCTATTGACTCTTACCTTAGGCACAATTCTAATGTGCTTAATCATCCTGCTTCCTTCCCAGCCTACAGCAGAGGAGAAACAGCAAATTAGAAGTGGAACAGCCTGCTACAGGCAGGCACAGGGACAGCAGAAAAAGGGGGTGGGAGGAAACAAACTAAAAAAGCAGATAAGAGGATTCAAAATACCCAGTGGTCTGGGGCCACTTAGTGCAGGGACAGCCAGCCCTACTTACCTTTGTAGGTCTAATGTATTATAATCCAAAAAGATTTTCTTTCCCACGATAACCCTGAGCCGTCGAGAAAAGTGTTCTTTATGACTTATCTCCTTGGTTAAAGAATATGGGGACATACATAAGAAAGACATTTTAGAAATATTGCCATTGGAAATGGTTGAAATAAAAGGATTTTTGGCTCTTAAATGAGTCAGATTTGTTTCTATGAAACACCGTAACACTGCAGAATAGCTCACTCAGCTAATTTCACATTCACCTAATTCCAGCATTTTCCATGCCTAATATGTGCCAGACAGAATGGAAGCTCCCCGTGGGCAAAGATGATTTTATGTTTGTCTTCACATCCCAAATCACTTTAGCATAATGCACATAGTAGGTGCTTAATAAATATTTGTTGATTGATTTCCAGACACTTCACAAGGCACAGGAGTATAAAAAGACAAACATACACACACACACACACACACACACACACACACAAAACCACTCTCCCACCCCACCCCAAATAGTCCCTGACCACAAAGCATTTACACTCTGCTGAACTGATCTTCTGCAGAAGGTGGGAGGTACTGTTTATGTAAAGCAGGGTACATCTGAAATTCCATCACTGACCTACAACAATACAGTGTCCAAATGATGATGGAATTTGCCCAGTCACTCCTTTCTTCCCTGCACTGGGCCCAAAGGTTACGCTCATGATATGGGAATTGTGATGTGAAAGGGCCACCTGCCTTCCATGGTGCCTAAAATCCAACTAGTAGAGCCACTCCTTTGGGCGAAGGCTGGGAGGCTCCTTTGAAGACTTTGAGGACGGCACCAGATTGCCTGGGGTTGGGGCAGGTCCGGGAAGAGCCTTTACACAGCAGTAGTGATGAGCTCCTATCAGATGAGCAGCTTCTCTATTTGGAAAGGAGAGAAAGAGAACGTGCTATGGGATGGACACGGGGATGGAAAGCAAGGGAGGTTGGGAGTATGGAGGATCAAGGACGTTGGCAGTGCTGTGGAAGCGGACCAGAAGGAAGAGGGGTGAAGACAGGACTATGGGGGAGCAGCATGAAGATATGAGGAGGGAACCCCAAAAGAAAGGACGGTAGCTACCAGAATCAAACTTTGCCCCTTCCTCAAAATTGCCCTAAGGAAACTCACCAATATTAATCATTACTCAATCCAGTTGGCGAACAAGCGTTTCTCAAGTGCTTAGCTAACCTACAAAGTGCTCTACAAATACTAGATTTCCTGGCTATTCCAGTTAATTATGTGCCAGGTCCCGGGCAAAGCACTGGGGATACAAGAAGAGGCCCAAAATAGACCCTATTATCTTTTTTCCATTTTTAAAATAGAAATACACAATAAAGAGAAGAAAAAAGAAACATATTAAAAACTTAAATATTGAAACTTAAATACAAAATAAGAAAAGAAAAAAATGTCATGTGCACAGCAGAATGTAAAAGAGAATTCAAAACATATAGCAATAAGTTTCTATTTCAAGAAAGCCTAAATAATAAATACTACATATTGTGTTGAAAAACGTCCATTTTTTCTTTGCTTTCTTGTAAATTTTCTTTTGTTCTCTGCCGCGCACTTTTTACTGTTCTCCACCCCCCCATCAGCCTACAATTAAGCGCAGATAAATGTGTAGAGAGATATAGACATACACGTACATACATACATATATAGGCATACACTTTTCCTAACAAATTCTGCTCCTGATCTTTGTTTTTGTGTTTGTGCAAATCTCGTATTTCCTTTTCCTCCTGACTCCTCCACTTTACTTCTACCTGCTACTTTGCCCTCCTATTATCTAACCTATTCCTCCCTCCAAGGATCCTTCCCTTATCCTCCCATTCCCATAAATCTAAACACTCTTCTATTTCCCCCTGTTGACTTATTCCCTCAGCCTCCCCTTAAAGATCCCTACTTTCAAGGAGCTCGTATTCATCAACATGAAAACAGCTCTGGTCATCCAAGACAGATACGGAGTAAATGGTTAGGTCTTAGAGGGAAGGTGCTAGCAAAGGGGGACCCTGGGAATGACTTCCTGCAGAAGGTAGGCTGAGTCTTTAAGGAAGCCAGGTCACCCCGGTGAGGAGGGAGAGCAGTCCAGGCATCGGGGACAGACAGTGCAGGGACACGGTGTCAGGCGATGGAGTGTTGTTTGAAGCGGCCGTCGTCTCTGGTTTGCAGAAGGGGCAGCGAGGAGTAAGTAAGGCATGAGAAGACCAGGCTCCTTGCTTCTAAACTCCCTCTGCTCCCTCTCCCCTCTGATCAGAGGGCTGGAGGGTGGAAGACCCAATTCCTCCCAAGGCTTTCCTTTATAGAGTACAGGAAGTGGACCCTCAGGGCACAGCTCCACTTTGCATCCACTGCCCTGCCTGGTTTCTACTCTATGGAGCTAGACGCACTGTGCCAGGCACCCCGGGGTGTCCCGTCCCTTCCCTTTCCTGCTGCTTTTTGCGTGTGAGGACAAGGACCACCTTTCCTATTATTGTATTGTATCCAGCTTAGCCCAATGCCTGGCACTTGGGTGCTTAACGAATGTTGATGATTGGGTTGGATGAACCGGTCCCTGCCCTCAGGGCACTTGCTTGCATAACTCACACGTCCTTCAAGCTTTTAAATTTACCAGGAGCTTTCCTCACAACAGCCCCATGAGGTGGGCTGTAAAATGCTTATTGACATCCTTTTGTAATTAAGGGAATGGGATTTCAGAGATGACTCAACCTCCCCCTGGTCCTACAGCTAGTAGGTAGAGTAGCCCGAGCTAGAAGAAACCTCAAGGGTCATCTTGTCCAATCCCCTCATTTTACAAATAAGGAAACTGAAGCTCAGAGTGGTTACGTTCATCACGGGCAGGATTTGACTCCGAAGGACAGGGTTTTCCCACTGTGCCACATTGCACTGAACCTTGGTTTCCAGACTGAAGGACCAAGTCACCTTCCCACCATATCTGGCTGCCTTCACATCCTGGGCCTGCAACCCCAGGATTGTACCACCTCTGCCCTGTCCTTGTGTTCTATAGCATGACCTCAACATTAATGTCGAGGGCTGTGGGAACCTCTGGGGGACTGGGAGTCATTCCCCAGAATGGGACAGACAGAAGGACAAGACAGAGGGTGCGTGGGGGGGGGGGGGGGGGGGGGGGGGGGGGCCTCAGCTGGGTCTAGGACCCCTTAGGCGGGTGCTAGGGAAGAGGGAGAATCTCTGAGCTAGAGGGTGGGGGATGGGTCTAGGCCACTGACCTCAGAGGGGAGGCTCTCTCAGAAAGGCGGAGGTCACTTGGCCTTTACCAGGACTTTGGCCACATTCCTTTACTGGCCCTGTCTCTATCTCCCCACTACAGGGAGGGGGCTCTCTCTGCTCCCTGGAATTTGTCTATATTTAGTCCTTACAAGAGCCCACAGCTGATAAGGAGCCCCTGGAGATAAAGCTGGGGCAGGATGGGGAGGTTTGGGCGGGGAGTGCTTTATAGGGCTAGAGACACTGGTGATCTCACTCCCTCTGTCTGCTCCCTGCTGCTTTGGGCAGTATCGTTGGTGGGTGCCCAGGTCCCAGGAGACCTCCACAGGATGCCAGAGCTGGGGAAGAAATCAGGTAAAGGTACCTGGGGGTGAGAGGCTGAGAGGGGATGGGGCAGGAGGGAGCAGTGGTTGTAGGGATGGGGGACCAAGGGGCTGGTCTGGGAAAGCAGTGCTGGAATCCGGGTGGGGATCAGAGGTTTGCAAGACCCTGCTTCCCTAGAGAAGGGACGTGGATGACGGGTCTGAGACCTCTCCCCACTTCTCAGTCCTCCCCTCTTCTTCCCTGCTGGCTGGCCCAAGGAGTGAGCTGGGAGGGTCTGAGGCAAAAGAAGAGGCTAGGGTCTGGCTGCCACTCCCAGGACGTAGGATGGTGGATGCTGCCCAGCTTGGGATGGTTTTGGAGTCACCAAGACCAGGGGTCAAGTACTGGCTTTGAAACTTACAGCCTATGTGACCCTGGGCAAGTCCATTTCTTTCTCAAAGCCTCAATTTCCTCATCTGTTAAATGAGGGGGGAGCTGAATTAGAGGATCTCTAAGGACCCCTTCAACTCTATGACCATCATGCTAGAATCCTATGAATTTAGGCTCTGTCAGTTACGACCGGTGTGACCTTGGGCAAGTCACTTAACCTCTGTGGGCCTCAGTTTTCTTATCCATATAATGAGAAGTTGAACCTGAAGGCCTTCATTGTCCTTTCCGTTTATAATAGTATATGACCTTCCTGGAGAGGACAGCCCCCAAGAGAGGAAGGGGCTTTGCTCTGCCCATTCTGGCCTCTTCCCTGCTATAGACAAGACCCCCAGAACCATAGGAGGTTCTTGGGATAAGGACAGGGCCTGTAAACCCCTGTTGGGGGTTACAACCAGAGAGCTCTAACTTTGGGGTTCCCCTTGTCCCTCATCTCCTACCTCCACAGGCAGGGTTACAAACCCCAGGCTCATTTTCCTGCCAGTTTCCCCACTCCCCACTCCTCAAATCTTCTCGCCTCCAAGGTCACTCAGCAGGAGGGCAACTGAACCCAGGGATCTGCCTGGCATCTGTCTTTGGCCGCTTCCCCTCCCCAGCGCCCAAAGCCTTATCACAGCTGCTCGTTATCAGTCTGAGGCCCAGAGAGATAAATTTAGCCAAATTCCAGGCAGGATCAGAATTCTCCTCATTTCCTCCTCCGCCCCTTTCCTTGCCCCTTCCCCCAGCCTAGAACCCAAAAAACAGAGACTGATACTGGCATGAAGGGCAATAGGATTGTATTAGGACAATGGGCAGCAATGTGGCCCGGTGTTTAGAGCCATGGGCCCCGAGTCAGGAAGACCTGAGTTCAAATCTGACCTCGGACACTAGCAGTGAGATCATGGGCAAGTCCCTTCACCCTTCTTGCCTCAGTTTCCTCATCTGTAAAATGAGTCGGAGAAGGAAACAGCAAACCATGCCAGTATCTTGACCGAGAAAACCCCAAATGGGGTCACAAAGAGTCATTCGTGACTGAAACGACTGAACAACGGTGTATTAAGATGAAAGGCTGAACCTCGTCTCACTGATGAGGATTGTTGTATAAATAGGTGGTGATAGAAGTGACCCTGGCTCTGCTGCCTCCACAATCAGCACTGTTTAGTTGCCTTGGGGAAGGTGCTATGGTCATGACTCAGGAGGGAGCCACCATGGGATTCCTGGGGGGGCGGGGAAATGACCACCAGGGTGTCTGAGGGAGGCATAGTCAGAGGGGTTCTGGGCCAGACTTGCCCCCAGAGCCTCAGAGGAAGGAGAATATTGGGACAGGTAGGGGCTGTATCATGGGCAAGGCAGGAATCCCTCCAGGGCGGGCGGGGGGAAATCACTCTAGTGTGGGAGAATCCTAGAGCTGGAAAAGACCAGAAAGCCCCCGCCCCCTCCTACACCCACAAATTAACCTCCCCCTTCCCAGCCCTTTCTCTCCTGGACTCTGAACAAGGAGGGAAGGGTCAGGAAATGGGGAAAACTCACCATCTGCCTGGAATCTGGCTAATGTGTCCCTCTCTGGGGCTCATACTGATAACAGCCACTTAGGGAAGGGTAGACAAGGTCGGATGTGCCCTAGGGGACTGGGGGTTGGGTTATCAGTGGTGGGGGGCAGATGGGGGCAGTGAATGGTGAACCTCAACTGCTCCTCAGTTTCAGCGTTTAGCAAGAAGCCCAAAACGGCCGAGGCAGCGGTGGGCAGCTCTGCCTTATTTGAAGCCGAGACCGAGCGGGCAGGCCTCAAGCTGCGCTGGCAGAAGGCAGGCAGCGACATTGCGGCCAGTGACAAGTATGTGCTGACGTCGGACGGCACCAGGCACACTCTGACCGTGCGGGAGGTGAGGCCTGACGACCAGGGGCAGTATGCTGTCATCGCAGGCTCTTCCAAGGTCAAGTTTGAGCTGAAGGTCAAAGAAGCAGGTCTGTGGCCTTCCATTCCCTCCCTTTCATGCCTCAGGGTGTACGTACTCTCAGGGGTGAGGGTAGGTCTCCTGCCTCCACTTGGGCACCTGCCCCTCCTGAGTCCCATGGCTCACCTTGGGTCAGGAGGACAAGCTGAACCTGGGGCCCAGCCTGGGGCAGCCTCTAGAACCTGTGGCCCTCGAGGACCTAGAGGGCCACATGTGGCCTTGAGGCTGCAGGTTCCCCACCCCTGCCTAGAAACTTGCCCATGGAAAAGAAATTTAACCTCTCAGTGTCTAGGCCACGCTCTATGATGCTAACAGAGAGAACGCCAACTTGCATTGGTAGAGAGTTTTCTCATCCTAAAGTGTCACATACCAATGAAATCACAGGTTCAGACACGATCTCTATTCCTTCTGTGTACAAGGCATTGCTATGTACTGGGGATATACAGAAAAAGAGCCTCAGCCCTCAAAGACTTGACATTCTGCTGCAGAGGAGGAAGGATAGATAATATAAACAGATAAAGAAATAGAAGGTAATTTAAGGGTGGTGAGGACACTAACAAGTGGAGGGATCAGGAAAGATTTCATAGAGGAAAAGACACCTCAGCTGAGCCTGGAAGGAAGATTCTGGACAGAGAAAAGACTTGTGCACATATATGCAGGAAGAAAGGAGATGCTGGATCATAGAGCAGGTATGATCATAGGGAATAATGTAAAATAAGGCTTGAAAGGTAAATGAAAGTCATATCGTGGAGAACTTAAAATGTCAGGCTGAAAAGTCTGTATTTTATCCTAGAGGAAATAGGGAGCCACTGAAGGTTATTGAGCAGGGGAATAAAATTCATAATAATTGCAAAAAATATAAATCATATGATTATGTCAATAAATGCTTCTGATAATATATACCACTCATTTATTTTTTTTTAAGCATAGGAAAAATAGTCATTTTCTGACAAGTACTATGTACCTAAAATCAAGTGGCAACATTACTAGTAACAGAGAAACATTAGATGCTTTACCACTGAGATGAGGGTTAAAGCAAAGGTACCTATTGTCATTCCTATTACTTGATAGTAGAAGACAAAGAAAGAAATTGCAGGTTCATGCAAAGATGAAAAAGAGGTAAAATTCTCTCAGTCTGCTGGTGATATGATGGATTGCTTAAAGAATACCAGAGATTCAATGAAAAAATTCATTGGAGGCACTGGTAACTTTAGTAAAGTAGTAGGCTGTTAATAATCCTACAAAATCATCAGTTTTTCTGTATACGACTAACAAAATCCAGCAGAAAGAGATAGAAAGAGCAGGGGGGAAATATGGTCGTACCTATATTTGTTATTGTTGAGTTGTTTTTCAGTCATTTCTGACTCTGTGACCCCATTTGGGATTTTCTTGGCATAGACACTAGAGTGGTTTGCCATTTCCTTCTCCAGCTCATTTTATAGTTGAGGAAACTGAGGCAGACAGGCTTAAGCGCCTTGCTCAGGGTCACATAGCTAGTAAGTGTCTGAGGTCAGATTTGAACTCAGGTCTTCTCAACTCCAGGCCTGGTGCTTTCTTCACCATGCTGCCTAGATGCCCCCCAAACCTATGTTTAGGAAGATCATTTTGGGCACAGTATAGTATCATCGATTTAGAACTGGAAGCTATCTTAAAGATCAACTAGTCAAAAGCTTCCCCACCCTCCAGTTGACCGGTGGAGAAATTAAATCTCAGAGAAAAGGCTTAACTTGACTAGGATCACACATCTAGTAGTTTCAGAGGGAGGGATTCCTCCCAGAACCCCAAAGCCCACCCTCTTTATTGCTATACCAGTGTACTTCTCAGGTCTATGTGGGGTGGTGGCTACAAGGCCAGAATTGGACAGAGTTTTGAATCCCTTCTGAGATATGTACTAGCTGTGTGACAATGGGCAAGTCATTTGATTTCTCTCTGCCTCAGTCTCTTTATCTGTAAAATGGGCATAGTAAAAGCACTTCTCTCCTAAGGTTATTGTGAGGATCAGATAAAAATAACACATGTAAAGTGCTTTACAAACCTTTATCATCTGCACCCTGGTAGTGTGTGTATGTTTAGAGGGAGGAGTGACCAGGGAGACCAGTTAGGAGACCAGTGCAAGAGTCTAAATGAGAAGTAATGAAGGCCTGAGCTAGGTGTTGGTCAGCAGGGTAGGGAAGATTCCAAGCTGACTCGGAAGTGTCTTTAGTTGAAATAGGGGAGTCAAGAAGGGGAGCCAGGAGGGCTGACGTGAGTCAGACTGGCTTGTGAAATAACCACATAGAAGTGGCCCATGACTTTCAGGCACCTCCCCATGAAATATCTCCTTATTTTGGTCCCATCCAGAAAAGCCTGATGTGGTTCCAGCCCCTCCAGAAGTACCTTTGCCCTCTGAGTCTCCTGGCCCTGGTGATGCTCCCGCTACGGGGGCCAAAGGATGCCCTCCAAACAGTGAAGGTGAGAAGGTCTGGCGGCTGTGGGTGGGGTGGGAAGAGGCTTCGGAAGCTAAAAGCTGAGAGGGGTCAACCTGCTGGGGTCTCTTCCAGCCCCCTCTGAAGCTGTTTCTGGTGACCCCATTGGCCTCTTTGTGACCCGGCCCCAGGACGGCGAGGTGACTGTGGGTGAGTGCTTGTGGGGTCAGGGGGCCAATAATGAAAAGAACAGCCTTTACTCGCTGACCTCCACTAACTTCTTTTAATAACATATTATGGTCAGAGCTCTGACCAGGCACTCTAGCAGTGGAGGTAGGCTTGGGTGAAGCAGGGCTGAGTGGCTGGGGGAAGGGAGGAAAGGTGGGCTGTGTCTGAGATGACCACTCCTGGGGGCTGAGGGGCTGGGGCAAGGGAGAAAAGGTGGGCTGTGTCTGAGATGACCACTCCTGGGGAGGCAGACAGGAGACAGAAGTCACAAGAGCTGGGGAGGCGGAAGAACTGGGAGGCAGAGGACAGTGAGATCACTACTGAGCTTACAGGAAAAGAAGGAGAGTGACCTTCACAAATGAAAGCAACAAGGAGCTGGGCAGGATGGAATGACCTTCAAAGAAGGGGCTGCTGAGTGACGGGGGCAGGAGGGAGCACGGAGTAAGACCCCTCCTCCCCCTGGTCCTGCATGCAGGAGCAGCTGGCCATGCAGAGGGGTCAGGAGGTATTGCACCTTCAGGAGAAGGCTGACTTTCAGTGAGGGCCAAAAGATGGGGGATAATCGAGAGGACAAGATTGCCAAAGAAGGGACAGTGTGATGCAGCAAATAGTGCTGGGCTGGGAGACAGGGAGACCCGACTTCGAATCCTGACTCAAATTCTTAACAGTTGTATAATCCTGAGCCAGTCACATAAACTCTCTGAGTCTCAGTTTTCCCATCTGTAAAATGGACATAATAATTGCCCCCACCTCCCAGGGATGCTGTGAGGAACAAATGAGTAGTTAAGTGACTTGCCCAGAATCACACAGCCAGGAAATGTCAGAGGAGGGAAGTAGAAATAACATAGCAATCAATCAATCACCAAGTATCTATTAAGCGTTTATATTGTTCCAGGCACTCTATTACACACTGGGGATATGAACACAAAAAAAGGAAACAGTCCCTCCTGGCGATGAGCTCTCACCCTAATGGGAGAGACAAGAAAATATAAAAAAACATGAGCACTGTAAATATGAAGCTAATAAACACATAAATATTTATACAACCGAATTAGACACAAGGTAGTCTGGAAGGGAGAGTACTAACAGTTGGAGGTGAGCAGGAAAGAATTCATGTCGTGGATGGTGCCTGGGAACAGTAGATAGAGCACTGGCCCTGGAGTCATAAGGACAAGAGTTCAAATCTGGTCTTAGACACTTACTAGTGGTGTGACCTTGGGCAAGTCACTTAACCCCGATTGCCTTGCCAAAAGGAAAAAAAAAAGAGAGATGATGCCCAAGCTGCACCTTAAAAGACAGGAGGGATATATAAAGGCTAGTTATTTATTTTTATTATTATTTAATAACAAGAAACAAGGGTTCCAGGGGGCCCAGGGGAAAGAGAGGGCAGTAGAAGACATGATTATGGGGGGGGCAGGAAGTAGGAGATTTTGCTCCAGCAAAAAGGGGGCCAAAGAAAGGCTGACGATGGCCCCAGGACCCTGGAGGGGCTGGAGGAGAGAGAAGGTCAGTCAGGGAGCTGCCACTTGGCCCTGGGGAGAGGAAGCAGGTGCCTTTCACCATGAGGACACTGGGGCTCTGGGTGGCAGGACCAGCTCAGAGCTTAGCATCAGTTCTCGATCAGGAGTCCTTACAGACAACGTCAGGGCAGTTCAGGTCCTGGCACGCCCCAGCGAGCTGGAAAGGCCTGGGATCTCGGCCTGGAGACGAATTCCGTGCCTGCTGTCTGAGGGCCGGCCTGGCTAAGTCCAGAGGCTCCTCCCCAGATTGGCTGCTCACCCAGGACTGACCCAGGGAAGTCTGGGATAGAAGCACTCCTTCACACATTGTTATCAGCACCTTCTCATAAGCTTCAGAGTTTGCAAAGCACTTTCCTTAAAACGATCCCCCGAGGTGAGCAATATGAGTATCATTACTCCTATTTTATAGATGGGGAAACTGAGGCACAAAGAAGTGATTCGTCTGTGGTCAGGAAGCTATGAAGGGTCAGGGCTGGAATTCAAACGCACATCTCCTGGCTCACAGTCCACTGCCTTCACCATTCCCGCCATGAGGAAGGTAGGGGATGAGGGCAGCTGAGGGCATCCCTCACCTCAAACCTTCCTTCTTCCCAGGGGACAGCATCACCTTCTCAGCCCAGGTGGCCGGGGCCAGCCTCCTGAAGCCCCCCATGGTCAAGTGGTTCAAGGGGAAGTGGATGGACCTGAGCGGCAAAGTGGGGAAGAATCTGCAGCTACATGATAGCTACGATCGGGCCAGCAAGGTTGGCGGCTGGCAGGGCCGTGTCAGGGTGGCAGGAGGATGGGCAGGGGTGCCAAGTGGGCGGGACACTGGCCACAGGTCACAGCATCCTGGGACTAAGGGACTGTTTGAGGTGGTGGAGTGGATGGAAAGCCATACTTGGAGCTAGAAAAACTGGGTTCTGATCCTCCCTCTGGCACCTACTGGCGGGGTAATCTCCAGCTGCACTAGGCAGTTTGGTAGATTCTAGAAGGTGCCGACTTTCATTGGCAGAGGGAACTTCCTCATCCTGAAGTTCCCCTAGAGTATCAATGAAACAACAGATCAGCCTGTCATCCTATTTCTTTTTTGGGGGGGGGGGGGGGGGAGAGGTAATCAGAGTTGAGTGACTTGCCCAGGGTCACGCAGCTAAAGGCAGAGGGGCATTACAAGCCAGATCCCCTACATCCTACAATTCCAGACAGCCTCAGGAGGACGGGGAATGGAGGCAGGATGGGGGTGGAAGGGAGCATGGAATGTGGCAGACCGAGTGCTGGAGGGAGCAGCTGGGCTTAGGATCGGGGGCATGGCCAAGGAGGAGGGAAGGTCCTTGCTCTATGCCGGAACCTCCTTTGAGCGGCGGTGAGTATCCCAGGTGTGCGATCCCCTGGTCTCACCCTGACTCCCCACCCCGCACCGCTCACCCTACAGGTCTACCTCTTTGAGCTGCACATCTCTGAGGTCCAGGCAGCCCACGCTGGTGGGTATCGCTGTGAAGTTTCTACCAAGGACAAATTTGACAGCTGCAACTTTAACCTCACGGTGCATGGTGAGTTTATAGGCAGCGCAGCAGAATGGATAGAACCCAAGACTTGGAGTCAGAAGATCAGCGTTCAAATCCTCCCTCCAAGACATCTGCTGTGTGACCCTCACCAAGTCAATTAACTTCTCTGAGTTTTCCTTCTATTTGTAAAATGGGGGAAAATATGATACTTCATAAGGCTGTTGTGAGGATCAAGGGAGACAATTATGTTAAGAACTACATAGATGTGAATTGGCTTTATTATTACCAGGTCAAGGGAATGACCACCTAATGCACTGGTGCCTGGCACATAGTAGGTGCTTAAAAGATGCTTGTTAACTTGAGCAAAGTCCAGCCCACTCCGGTTGCCCAGTCATATCTGGGACATTCTCAGGCTTCTCCCAGTCTTGACTTAGCCAACCACACTGACCTAACCACATGCTAGGCACAGAGAGGGGAGATAAGAGAAATGGGAGGCATGGCCCCGCCCTATTCACATACAGGGGCTCAGCTCAGTGCCATCTCTCACATGAAACCACTCCAGTTGGGGTCTACTCTCTCCCTGCCCTGAGAAAGGGGCAGAAAATCAGGGGATAGGCTAAAGGGCCAATGAGACAGTGGGGGGCATTGGCAAGAGCCCTGGATTTGGAGTTGGGAGCCCTGTGT